CGACGGCGCGTAGCGTCAAGAATCATAGAAATGGGCGCAGAGGCTAACACACATTGGGTCACTCGGAGCATGGTACTGGGTGCTAGCAGAAGAAAGCCAGATGAGTCCTACCGACAGAGTAGGGGATAGCAGCCTCCACCAGCGCCAGAGTCGGTCACTAGGGGAGTGTGGTGGGGGCGGTTGGCGGTAGGAGCCATGCGGGGACGAATCACCCCGGCACCGGGTGAAAGACGTGATGGGCCAGGGTGAGTAATGTGGGCCAAGGGTGAACGAGGGGACACGGGAAGAGTAGCTGAGAACGTCTAGAGAGTTCCCGAAGGGGGCGTGGTTAAGGGCGGGGCCAGAGAGGGAACAGGTGTAAGGTGGCCTGGAACCTTTGGGAATATTCCAGAGGTGGGCGCGGCCGAGGGTGGAGCCAGGCCGCGCCTAGGAGGATAAAAGGGGAGCTCCGATCGTATATCGGGGCTGTCTGCAGGTGAAGTGGAACCCAAGTGCTACGTCGTCGACATCGTGGGTCAGGCAGCACGTGGCTACTCTGACTAGATTATAGTTATCCCGTATGTAAGAAAGATATGTGTATTGTGGTCCGATGTGTAACATGAGTGAGAGAAAGGTGTATTTAGTCCAGTGTGTAACGGTGTTGTGTAAAGTGTAGAATAAACGTTCTTACCTCCTACCAGGGGCGGTTTCTTCATTAGGGCAATTGGGCGACACACCACCAATGTCATTCAACCACAGAGTCACGCTAGCCGTCACTGTGCCTCTGGATATAGTCCAATCAGCGTCATGTCACGTTCTGTGGAGTACCGCCTCTTTTTGGGTGATTTCACTCCGGCTGAGAATCGCCCCGAGTGGCTCCATAGACTTACATTCAAATATGTTTTTTTTCGAACGGGGGGCGCTCCAATGCATTCTCTATGGCTTCCGGGAGGGCTCGCCCTAACGTGCTTACGTCATCATACGTGCTAACGTCATCATACGTAAGCACGTTTCATCCAACAATATAATTTGTCGCCACCTAGTGGAATCTTTAATAAAAGAAACTTGAGTGGATTGTATTACTAGTGAGTATAGAAACAAACAAGATGTATTGTAAGAGTCACTTTATTTTTCATTAATATTAAAGAAGTGAAGTTGCCTTTACATGCTTAAGCTGTTAATTTGTCCATTGCATGGGTGGACCTTATCCTTATCAATCATCCAGACATTTGCCCCCCCTGAGAGATTTTGCAGGAGCCGCCACTGCCTCCTACATAGTGTCTCTTAATGACTCACTACACATGTATAAAAAATAGATGGCTATGCAAAATACTGCAGATAACACAATGTTAAATGGTGTGCCTCCAGCGTTATTTAAATTGAGAACATGATGGTGATACAAAAAAAAGACATGCATTCAAATCCCTATGCAACCCACATCGCCTCTGCGGGCAAGCGCTCTTAGTGAGCGCCCACCCTATGAAGTTAATTAATTAGTCAGATATAATCAATCTCATGCTTTGATAAAATAAAATTGATAAAAATCTGAATGAGTTGCACATTAATCAGCGCCTTGAATGTGGTGCATCGTGGATAACAGATGTTAGAGGCTACGTGGTATTATGGGCAGCAGAGCAGTGTAGCAAAATACATGACAAGCGTGGTGAAGTATGTTTCAAATAAACCGCACGAACCACACGGCATAGAGACCATCATCCAACAGTGGATTGACAAGGGCTATTAAATGTACTACCAATCTCTCAATTGATCGCTCTGCACTTAAGTTACAGTTGATATATTCATCCCATTTGTGTTGCGAAGAATTACCAACGGAAATGTTTGAACGTGTGGCGGTGTTTTAAAGATCATAATGCCCTGTCATAGCCGACAGCCTGTCGGCTTGGCAAGAACAGATGTGGAACGTCACAAGAAACATCAGATTGAACGAAATCAATGACAAAACATAACACTGCGTATTGTTCTATTGTTGCTGGTGTTTACTTGGGCATGGCTCGCTGACAGACTCCCTCGGGAGCTCTTCACTTTCTGTGGAGGCCCTAAAGAGCTTGCGGAGTCTCAAATGGAAAGCATTCCGTCCTATCAAGTTACATTTGCGGTAGCCAGCATCCATCCCATATCCATTCCCTCCCACTCATCCTTCCTTCCCGGCCTCCTCCCTCACTCTCTTATCTTCTCACTTGTCGAATCCATCACGTCTCATTTTTCACAAGAGGATTGTTGTCTCGCTGGGCTCCCACCTGCATGAACAAACAAAACCCAAAGAACTGTCGTCATTATATCGACATCTACAGCCCTTTCGTGCATGCACCGCTGAATGACGTGCCTGCATCATTGCAAGTTGATGAAAGCAGGGAATAAATGTGGGAACACAGAAGTACAGCACGGCTATTTACTTGTCTACATTGCCTTCTGTTGCCCACCAGGTAGCCCTGCTGGCCTATGCTCATCTTTCTTTACGCGGTGGTCATCCATTCGAGCAAATTCCGGGCTCAATCTTTGCTTAGTTTCCGAGCTCTGACAAGATCGTGCACATTTCTCAGACGCTTCATTACTACGCTGCACGTCCATGTGGTGACACCTTATCTGGAAACCACCTACGCAAGAGGCAATACCACCGTTTAGCGCATCGACCACTCTCCCATCGTATCGTTATCGGCGGCAAGCCGACTATATTCAGGGTCAGTAAATCGACCACTCCCCTCCAGATGCAATCAGCTGATGAGCCACGTGAACCCGGCACCCTTGGCCAGTATATTGAACCACGCCCTGTGGATCTATTGAGGGATCACATCCACTGGTGGTGAATCGAGCACACCTTTCGAAGACCAGCAGATGATGTGCACGTACGAACAGGTGGCTCCGTGGAAGAACTAGCGTCTCGCAGACAGAAGGTTGCGAGTTCAAATCCTGGTAGAGGACGACTCGGTCCTTCATCCCTCCGTGGTTTGTAACATTAGTACCACGCTGTGGAGAAGTCAACAAGTGAGTTTAACACGTAGGCTTTCGCGACCAATATTATTCATAATAAACGTTTTTGGGTTAGATCGCGTTATTTATAAATGTGTCGTAACCATCCACCACCCGACACGGCCAATCAGCAAAAAAGTGTCACGTTGACAAAAGACAAATAGTTCACTACTTTAGTCCACCGGTGTGTTGAAGAGTGAAACCACATTTACAATTTTTGAGTACGACGTTTCATTGGTAATTGCATCCAGCATCATCGGGCAATACGCCAGAAAATTGTAAATGACGCGATCTAACCCAAAAACGTTATTATGAAAGTCAACAGTGGTTGTTATATGGATGGACTCGCCCCTGTCATGGGAATGATGAATTTCCAACACTGTCTCAGGGCTGTTAACAGCCGATGAGCATTGCCTCAATGCTCATTAGAGCATGGAATCACTAACGCTTTGTATTTAAAGTTTTCTATATGTTGTGTTTGTTTGCTTCTCCATTTGCTCAATTGAGCTGGAGAATCACTTTGAATATGTATTTAACTTTCGCTGTCCACATACACTGCTATATCAGGGCACACGGAAAGTGTCATACTTGCCAGTAGCCCCCCTACAGGCTTACGAAGGGGGGTAGGCTACGCATTACAGTATTAAAATATTTTTGGCTACACATTATGAAAAACATTTTTTTACCGCGTACCGCTTAACAAAGCCAATCGTGTAAGATCACAACATATTTGAACATTTAAATTGACATTTTTGCTTTCAGAAAATCGGTATAGGCATCCTACCGCTTAAGTCGGTAGGGTTGGCGAGCATGCGGTTTTAATATCAAACGTAATCAGCTGATGTTCACACGTGTGCGTGTGTCGCCTGCATAATCCTGATGCTAGCGTTATCATGAACAAACATTATCAATACACTTGTTGGAAGAGACAATCTGCCTGTGTAGGACAATGCACCGTTTAGATTTCAATCCCTTTACTGATATCTGTAATTGGAATTAAGGGCGTCTGTTTCGCCTAAAAGACGGCGTTCGCTGTGTTTTTCGGTTACACGAAAACACGTAACGGCTGGGCAGCGAGAAGGGAACAACACATGAAGATTCAAGACGAAACACAGTACCGACTGAAGCCACGCAACCCAAACTCTGGACCACAGAGTGTACAACCCACTGTTGACCGCGCTCCTTCACGAACTCTCTCTCTCGAAGCCCTCTCGTGACGAGCAGACATTGCCATTTAGATCCTGAACACATCGCCACACACGCAAAAGTAGAGTTTCTATGGCTGGCCAATATCAAAAATTGTCCTATAGCCTTAACAGACTGTAGGGGCAAGTTTTGTTAGCGAGCACCTATAAAGGCCGACACGGCACACGAGGGGGTGGGTGGCCAACACCACGCCCGGCCGCCTTTGTCTCCCTCGTGGCGATGTTTACACGTCGCACCAGGTACTCATTTGAGGCTGAGTCGACCTAGGTGAGGCCTAGGACCGGTTCAGATAATCGTCACTGGTGTTGGCCGTGAGCGGGCATCGAACCCGGGTCGCCAGGTTCGTAGCGCAGCGCGCTAACCGCTGCACCACCGCTCCCCACGACACCCACAGACATGCAGGTGCGTTCACGCTGTGTCCAACGCGTGCTTGTCAAACCGACCACGCCTTTTTAAAAGCCATCAGCTGTCACCCCACGTGCTGCACGAGCCCCCCCACCCTCGCCCCCCAAACAATAGACCCCCCCCTCTGCACCCCGCCCCTTCATATGCATAGATCGCCCCGCCTCTATTCACCCTACCCCCCAAACCCATCCCCCCCACCCACTACAATTGCCCCCTCCCTCTTCAATTAACATAACTAGCCCCGCCCATTTAATTATCTCACCCCGCCTCTTACCTTAGCCCCGCCCTCTATCTCCTCCCCCCCCCCCCCCCCACCAGGCACAACGTGATGTGATTGGTCAACGACGCCCCCCCCCACCCCCCGCGATGCTCGCCCCGCCCCCCGACGTAACGAGGACGCGGATTGGCGGAGGCGCCGTTAAGCGGCGCTCGGCAAGGACCGCCGCCTGAAAGATGGCGAGGAGGCGATCGGCGGCGGACGCGGCGCTCTCGCCGCTCCGGCGACCGCCCGGGTCGCGGCTGCCGTCCCTCGCCTCGCTGCTCGAGCCGCTGCTGCTGGCGCTGCTGCTGCTGCTGTCGCTCGTGCAGCCCGGGGCGCAGGACTCGTTCCCTCAGGGGGAGAGGTGAGTGAGTGCGTGCTGAGTGCGTGCGTGTGTTTGTGTGCGGCTGTTTGCCGGTGAGTGAGGGACGTTGGGGGTGGTGGTGATGGTCGTGGATGGGGCCACAGTGAGACGGGGCACGCGTGGTGGCAGTGAGAAGGGAGGGCATGGGCCTCAAGTGGTCCATGTGTCATTGTGAGTGGCAGGAGACTGGACATTGTTTGGTGACCGTTATGACCACAGGGCATGGATGGGGCAGTGGTGTAAGGGCGGGGGGGCATGGTAAGTAAGAGAGAGATAGTGAGAGCATGGTTAGTGAGAGGGCATTGGCGGTGAGAGAGTGAATGGTTAATTGGAGGTAGGATCGTGGGAGGGCATGGACAGCGAGAGAGAGAGAGCGAGAGAAGTGAGAGTGACTGCATAGTTAATGAGAGCGGAGTGAGTGTATGGTTACTTAGAGAGGACATGGATAGGGTTAAGAGAGAGGGGCATGGGCAGTGAGAATGATGGGGGCATGGTGAGTGAGGGAGGGCAGTGGGGGTGGCATGCTGAGTGGAAGAGTTCGTGGCGAATGAATGATAATGCTGTACTGTATATGAATAGAGGGCAGTGAGATATAGAGAGGGCAGTTAGAGAAGGAGAGGGGGGGGGCATTCAAAGTGCAGTGGGACAGCCAAGAACAGTTGAGTGAATTCAGGAGGGCAGTGTCGGTGTGAGTGGGGCAGCGTGAGAGGGGCAGTGTCGGTGTGAGAGGGGCAGTGTGAGTGGGGCAGCGTGAGAGGGGCAGCGTGAGAGGGGCAGCGTGAGAGGGGCAGCGTGAGAGGGGCAGTGTGAGTGGGGCAGTGTAAGTGGGGCAGCGTGAGAGGGGCAGCGTGAGTGGGGCAGCGTGAATGGGGCAGTGTGAGTGGGGCAGTGTAAGTGGGGCAGCGTGAGTGGGGCAGGGTGAGTGGGGCAGCGTGAGAGGGGCGGCGTGAGTGGGGCAGTGTGAGAGGGGCGGCGTGAGTGGGGCGGCGTGAGAGGGGCAGCGTGAGAGGGGGCAGTGTCAGTGTGAGAGGGGCAGCGTGAGTGGGGCAGTGTGAAAGGGGCAGTGTGAGTGGGGCAGTGTGAAAGGGGCAGTGTGAGAGGGGCAGCGTGAGTGGGGCGGCGTGAGAGGGGCAGCGTGAGAGGGGGCAGTGTCAGTGTGAGAGGGGCAGCGTGAGTGGGGCAGTGTGAGTGGGGGCAGCGTGAGAGGGGCAGCGTTGGTGTGAGAGGGGCAGCGTGAGAGGGGCAGCGTGAGAGGGGCAGCGTGAGAGGGGCAGCGTCAGTGGGGCAGCGTAAGAGGGGGCAGCGTGAGAGGGGCAGTGTGAGTGGGGCAGCGTGAGTGGGGCAGCGTGAGAGGGGCAGGGAGAGAGGGGCAGCGTGAGAGGGGCAGCGTGAGTGGGGCAGCGTGAGAGGGGCAGCGTGAGAGGGGCAGCGTGAGAGGGGCAGCGTGAGAGGGGCAGCGTGAGAGGGGCAGCGTGAGAGGGGCAGCGTGAGAGGGGCAGCGTGAGAGGGGCAGCGTGAGAGGGGCAGCGTGAGAGGGGCAGCGTGAGAGGGGCAGCGTGAGAGGGGCAGCGTGAGAGGGGCAGCGTGAGAGGGGCAGCGTGAGAGGGGCAGCGTGAGTGGGGGCAGCGTGAGTAGGGGCAGCGTGAGAGGGGCAGCGTTGGTGTGAGAGGGGCAGCGTCGGTGTGAGTGGGGCAGCGTGAGTGGGGCGGCGTGAGTGGGGCGGCGTGAGTGTGGCGGCGTGAGAGGGGGCAGCGTGAGAGGGGCAGCGTGAGAGGGGCAGCGTGAGAGGGGGCAGCGTGAGAGAGGGCAGTTTAGTTCAATGGGCAGTGTCAATGAGGGTGAGCGGTGTCTGTGAACAGGGCAGTGGCTTCCCCGTGGCCATGTCTATTCTACGTGATGGACATGTCACCCTGGGGTTGCCAACTCATTCCCATCTCGCTGCTGTTCACGTTATCACTGCTGAATTGTTATTACCACTGCGACGATTGTGTGTTTCCATGTTATTATTGATGTCCTCGTAATGCTCTCATTTATAGTGTTTTCCACATTAATATGTATGCAACGTGTTAAAATATTGATGCCGGTTGCTGCGTGACCACTTATTGCGTTAAATGTATCAACGTATTCGCGTATGTTGTATCATTGTTATTAAAATATAACGTGTATTTAGTGTTTTGGGCACTGCGTTTTGCAGACCGGCGTTTTTACGTGTCTTAGGAAACGCAGCCCGTAAAAAAATGAAGGCACAACAACGGCTCGACGTACAGATTGCATGTGTACGCATAGTCTACGAATTACGTCTAAGGCTGTGTGTGCGCGCGTGTGTGTGTGTCGAGCGGATCACAAGCGGAGGGAAAAGAGTGTCATGGAGATGACTGCGATGGAAAGGAGGCGTATAGGAAAGGAGCTTTGCGCTGAGAAGATTCTATCGGCACGATTCCGCCCTCCGTGGGCAATCGCTGTCCCCAATCTCCATCACCCTACATATTGCAGCAGCTGCTGCCGCCGCCGCCGCCGTAGCTGCCAGCGATATTCATCTCGTGTCAGGAGGGGCGAGGGGGGATAGCACTCGCGGGGCGAGGGGGGATAGCACTCGCGGGGCGACGGGGCGAGCATGGGTGTGCGATCTCTTCCACCATCCCCCCCCCGCCACCCCTCTCACCCACCACACCTCTCACCCACCACCCCTCTCACCCACCAACCCTCTCACCCACCACCCCTCTCACCCACCACCCTACTCACCTACCATCCCTCTCACCCACCACCCCTCTCACCCACCACCCCTCTCACCCACCACCTCGCTCACCCACCACCCCGCTCACCCACCACCCCGCTCACCCACCAACCCTATCACCCACCACCCCATTCACCCACCACCCCTCTCACCACCCCATTCACCCACCACCCCTCTCACCACCCCGCTCACCCACCATCCTTCTCACCCACCACCCCATTCACCCACCACCCCTCTCACCACCCCGCTCACCCACCATCTTTCTCACCCACCAACCCTATCACCCACCAACCCTATCACCCACCACCCCTCTCACCCACCAACCATCTCACCTACCAACCCTCTCACCCACCAACCAACTCACCCACCACCCTTCTCACCCACCACCCCTCTCACCCACCACCCCTCTCACCCACCACCCCTCTCACCCACCACCCCTCTCACCCACCACCCCTCTCACCCACCACCCCTCTCACCCACCACCCCTCTCACCCACCACCCCTCTCACCCACCACCCCACTCACCCACCACCCCTTTCACCCACCACCCCTCTCACCCACCATACCTCTCACCCACCATCCCTCTCACCCACCACCCCTCTCACCCACCACCCCTCTCACCCACCATCCCTCTCACCCACCATACCTCTCACCCACCACCCATCTCACCCACCACCCCTCTCACCCACCACCCCTCTCACCCACCATCCCTCTCACCCACCATACCTCTCACCCACCATCCCTCTCACCCACCACCCCTCTCACCCACCATCCCTCTCACCCACCACCCCTCTCACCCACCACCCCTCTCATCCACCATCCCTCTCACCCATCATCCCTCTCACCCACCATCCCTCTCACCCACCAACCCTCTCACCCACCATCCCTCTCACCCATCAACCCTATCACCCACCACCGCACTCACCCACCAACCCTGCATTAAAGCTCTCTGGATTCTGGCTCTGAATGCGTGAGGCTCCTATAGAGCGTGAGCCACGCTCGCCCGCCTACCTATCTACTCTTGTTGCGTGTCATTATAATTGCTGTGACAACATTGCCCCCCCCTCCCCCCCCCATTTTTTTGCTTTATACCCTCGCATACAGTACGCAAACAACTGTGTACGCATTTACTTCACGTATGCCATTTTGCCACATGTTGGGTTTGTGTAACAGGGAGACCGGCCGGCGAGGTTGTGACCAGTCGGCTATTTTAGCCGGTCCGGACAGCCAATGCTTGCCTTAAAAAGGCTGGTGTGCTTTGCTATCTTTAGACGCTACTGTACCAAGCAACTGGGGGGGGGGGTGTTTGGGGGGGGGGACACACAGCCAGACAGCCGGCTTCGCTGACTGGCCGTCTTAGGGTAGGGGGAAGGCATTGGCACACTAATACCTGCCGGAGTAGCTGTGTTGAGACTACTCAGGGTTTGGGGACGTGGGTACATTTTCATCGTGCCCTGCCACCCCTGTCAAGCCAAGGCCAGCCCCCTGCCCCCCCCCTCCCCCGTCCACAATTCGCACACCTTTGCCATTCACTCACGTGTCGTTCCCTAGGCTGTTTCGGGCTGAACGGATCTGAGGGAGGAGAAAGAGGATCCGTTTGTTCCCAGGGTGATAGCTGCCCCATGTGACTTGATCTCATGACACTTGCGTGTGATATGATTGCGTTATAAGTTATGGATTGTCGTGTTGCGGTGGTCATCAATTGATGAGGCCTATTTTATTTATGTTTGGAAAAATATTTTTAGCACTGTGTAGTTTTTATTCTCTTTTGTTAATGTGTCATGTATTATTTATTTGGTATAAATAATGTTACAAATAAAGAATATATATTTACTCTCCAGTTGAGTTATTTGTGTTCTTTGTGCAATATTTTATTGTGCAAAAATCCACATGCCATTGTTCTTTTCATATATTTGTACATGTCTGTGTTCTTTATTTATGTGTTGACTTTTACTGGCCATGTTTTTGCGCGTATATAACTTAAGTTAATTGCAAGCGATATGGGTGTCTTCCTGTTTGTTTTTCAGTGACAATAACATGACAAAACAACATTTATCATTGTTCATATCACCAACAATCTACGTCATGCTTTGGGTCTTTCGGTAAAGTCACGTAGATGGAACAATAAAATAAAAAAATGAAAATAAAGTGAATAAAAAATAATCAAAATATAACGACGTTTCGATCGCAACACAAGCAATTCTCCTGATGACGATTGCTTGTGTTGTGATCGAAACGTCGTGATATTTTTATTATTATTTTATTCA